ATAGAAGCAGATGCCTGCTGCTCTGCCTGGCTCCTGCGAGGGTCCCTCGCGCTGCAGCCCTTCCTCCATGCTCGTGAACCTTGGCTGCGTCTTAGAGCTCATTACTAAACCTCCGTGTGAAGACGTGGGCTTCGACACCACGCTGTGTACTAGAACATTCACCAGAGAGTAGAAGAGTTTATTGCACCAAGCAGGAATTCCTCCCCGGTGTAGTCACCGAGGCTTTGAACTGTCGGTGGGGAGCTCTTGCTCACGCAGCCCCAGGCTATCTGCAGTTGGAAGAGGCGGGCCCTAAAACCAGGCGAGCCATCTGGTGCAGACCTCCCGTTTCATATTTCAGGGGATGAACTCCTGCAGAGTTCACTTACGGTTGCTTTTGCAAAATCCACCGACTCTGCAGAACTGGGCGTCTGATACCCCTATGTTAAACATGTGGTTTTTCCTTGTGCCCCTTCATTGAGAGGCCTTTTTCCTACTGTATGGAGCACACTGAGCTGGAGGAATCGCAGCCAAATGTTCATTTTGTGTGTCTTCCCTTTTTTGATGCCCATCTTGAAAGCATTGGATCTCACTTTCTGGGGTGCTGAGTCCCTTCCCTTGGTGGAAGGTGCAAATGCCATAACCATCAACATGCTCAAAGTTAGCGTTTTCACAAAAAAGCTTTGTTGAATCTCGTCGTAGCCATTTAAAGCGCTGTCTGGGCCTGTTGGATGCATCTCTTCTACCAGTGTGATGCAGTAAGTGGAAGGGACTGTTCTCTGCCATGATGTGCTCAGTTATTCAGGTGGAACCGCTGATGGAGGAAGGTTTACCCATGGGTGCTGGCTGTGGCCTGACTCACATTGCCATCTAATATGAGGGGCAGAAAACCCCAGCAGCTGTGTACGGCAGGCAATGGGGAGCAGTAACTGTTGCAGTAATATTTACCAGCACTTGTCTGCCAGAGCTCTTTAGAGACCATTTTGAAGACGGTCATCTTTGGTTGACTTGCTGGAAATCCTGGTGTGAGTGCCAGTGGTGTTCATGTACCTAAGCCACAGGTCAAGGTTTTATGTCTCCCCCAGCCCTGCTCCCACCTCGTGTCTCCTTATCTGCAAAGGGAGAAACGTGCATTTGGTGCGGGTGTTGGAGCAGGACTTCACAGGCTTCATCCTGCTGCTGCTTTTTGCTTTGTTGGTTTTTAACCAACATGCGCGGAATGCACAATCAGCATCTTGGAGAAGCAGTGGTAGGAAAGAAGAAGCTCACGCAGAATATAAATAGCCAAATTTTAAAATGTACCAGTGTAGCAGCTCACTTGGCTCTTGGCATGAGCCTGGCTGAAGACCGCTGGGAAGCTGCGTACTTTGTGTGTGGTTTGCGAAGGGGGAACTTTGGGGGATATTGCACGAGTCAGCAAGACAAAAAATGAATGAATCTGACAGTTTTGAATATGGGAAGGAAATGAAATTTGCTTCTACGCACATCAAAATTGGGTGTATCCCCTGCACATGACATGAAATACAGAGCGCAAACCCCTCCACCGTTATGGCAATACTTTCCACTGGAGTTGCACAGAAGCTGCCCATGATTCATGGACTGATGCTGAGACTGTTTGTCCTCCCATATGATTTGATTTCTTTATTAATTTAATTGTATCTCAACAAGCACCTGATTTTTCTTGATATCTGTGTCTGGGGTTTATAACTGCCCAGCCAAATCTCTTTTCTGTACAGGAGTCTGGTCCTGCTGGACCCAGAGCTTTCCTCCCCCTCCAAAGGCAGCATAACCGGAAGATGTGCAGGGTAGGGCTGATGTGCAGGTTGGGTGACAAAGACCAGGAGAGCTGATATGAAGCGTCATTGGTAGCGATCCCACTTCCCTATAACTGCCCCTTGGGCAGTGGGCTTGCATGCCTAAGAGCCATCTGCTGCTGCTGCTTCTGGAGGATGGCACATAGCTGTGGGTACCAGGGTCTGATGGTCTCCATGGAGAAACTGGGAAGAGTTAAACTAGACCAGTTAAACTGGGGGGGGGAGCTGGGCTCAGGTCTGCACTACCCCCAGCAGCCAGCCTTGTCGTCCCAGGATATTTATTGAGGCAGAGTGGAGACGTATTTTCATGTCACGCAACCTGGGAAGGCACAGCACACGCCATGCTGGTGTGTGAGTGCTTTTTCCATTCTTGAAATTCAGACCTGTTCATAAATTTATGACAGAATTTATTGTAGAGCGTGGAACAAGAAGGGGGCTGAGGCAGGGACTGGAAGGATGTCTGTCTGTCTGTCTGTCCACTGCCTTGTGCACGTGCTGTCAGGGTTGGTCTGGAACCCAGTGAATCTCGGGAAAGACTTCAGATATTCACAGCACAGCTGAAACCAGAGCCTCTCAACCCCTCAAGCTCCAGCAAACCAAACCTCTTGATAGTCTAACATGAAGTGAGAAGAGCAGGCTCAGCAGAAAGTGAGGAAGAAGTCCAGTAACCCTGCCCAGGGGGATTCTTTGTCCTCATTCACTGCAGCCATGAATGAGAGGCTTTTTAAAGTTTCCCCCTCGTTCCTTGAGCTGGCTGTGGTTCCCTGCCTTAATTCCTTGCTTATAACAAGCACTTGGCTTGAGCAGGGTGTGATAAGAGTGCAGTGACCGCCGCTGTAATGGTGGTGATAAAGGACGGTGGTTAAGGTGCACATTCAGTATGTCAAGACGTTCAGCATCCTCTGAAGCCAGGACCATGGGTACGGCCATTCCCATGTTCACAGGGGGTGGTTTGGGAGGAAGATTTTTTCCAGGGAGCAGTGGCACCCCTGGGGCTCCATCCTGGGTTGCCCCATGACAGCTTCTTTCCCGGAGAGCCCTGCGCTGTTGTCATTGCTCAGGATGTTCTGTGCTCCTGAGAGGCAGATCACAGGGGAAGCCATTTAAAAGGATCTGGATAAATCCTCTTAAGAGAGGCACTGACTCAGCAGAGCGTGGTGAGAGAGGAGGAGGAGGAGGGAACTGAATTACCCTTGTGAGGCTGAAGCCACCACTGACCCCCAGGCTGGCACGTGGGGCTGGGGGAGCTGGGGCAGGCGTGTGCCTGGGGATCTGCCCCAAGAAGCATTCCCTGTTTCCTCACCAAATTTTTGGAGGCCTCCATCACCTGAAGCAGAAATGTGGGCTCCATAACTGGGTCTGCTTGTGGCCCAGGGGTGCAGGGACCTGTCCCGGCTGTGCCTGAGCCCACCCTCGTGCTGTTGCCCATGGTTTCCTCCCAGATTCAAGCTACCCCCTCATATTTCTGCCTTGTGAGCATGGCCAGCACTGCGGAAGCTCGTGGGCAGCGTGTTTTCACAGTTATTATTTATTACCGAAGGTGCACTGAGGTGCTCAGTTCCCGCAAGGGCAGATTACCAAGATTAGGGTCAGCCTGGTGGCAGTGTCACCTAACGGGAAAGGGAAAGGCTTGGGGAGGGGGAAGCAGCCACGGCTGGGTACAGGAATGCGCTGCCACTTCCCCTTCATCACCCAGCAAGGGGTCCTCGCTCTGCCCAGCACTGGCACAGCCTGGTTTTGCATAAGAGAGCGGAGCTGGGGGCTGTGGAGCAGACCGAGAACACCTCCCTGGGTGCAGACTGAGGTGTGCCCAGTGTTAAGCAGGCTGGAAAGACTGTGTCACCTGGTTTGCATTTCTGAGCAGGCGAGGCTGGCTCTCGCTGCCTGCCGGCTGTTACGTTCACCTTGCCAGGACACCTCGTACGAGGTGCAAGTGCACCCCTGCCACGCTTTACCCTCCGTATCTCATGGTGTATCTTGTCCTCCTGTGCAGAGCTCCACACAGGAGATTGGAGAAGAGCTGGAGGATGGTGTGATCTACAGCATATCACTCCGGAAAGTGCAGCTCCATCACACGGCCAACAAAGGGCAGCGATGGCTGGGGGTAAGATAAGCTGGGGCCTCCGCCAGCCTCCTACCATAGGCTTATTTCTGGCATTTCCCTGCCAGTGCCGTGGTGACCTGGTGTGAGGGCTTGGCAGGGTCAATACCAGCCCATGTCCTGCCCTCTTCTTGCTCCCCCATACACTCCTGTCCAGGGAGCTCCGTCCAAGCCTTATCTGGAAATCACGCATTTATCTGGGAGCACCCAATGGTCTCTGCCCCGCAGGAAGGGGCACAGAGGGAAACAACCTGAAGCCTCATTTTGCAAAATAAGGCAACCCTGATTTGCATCGAGATTTTGGCAACCTTGAGGCCTTTCCTGGGATTTCCCAAATGCTCAAGGCTTCCCATCTGAGCTGCTGTTTGGTGTCAGAGGAGACCCAGCTTCCCTGTCCTATGGCCTACTGTGAGACCCCCAGGCACTGTATGGGGTCTGTGGTCCCAGCCTAGACCCAAATGGTGGCTTGCAAAGCTGGTGGGGACTGCATTGCACTTGAACGTGCCTGTCTTCATCCAGCCCACTGACTTCTGCTCCTGTTCCGGCAGTTTGAGAACGAGTCGGCCTTAAACCTCTACGAGACATGTAAGGTGCGGACGATAAAAGCTGGGACCTTGGAGAAGCTGGTGGAGTACCTGGTCTCAGCCTTCAAGGGCAATGACTCCACCTACGTCACCATCTTCCTGTGCACTTACCGGGCTTTTGCCACCACCAAGCAAGTGCTGGACCTGCTGCTTAACAGGTGAGGCTGCCCCACGCCCCAAAACACAGCTGGGGGTGGCCAGTGTCTGAGCCCCCTTGGCCAGGAAAGCCCCAGCACCTGCTGCTGCCATGCCTTGGCAGGCTGCTGGGCTTCTCCCAACCCAACAGCATGAAGGTTCTTGGACAGGGCAGAGAGGACATGACCCCAGAGAGCTGAAGTCCTTTTAGCTGGTACTCTGCTGCAAGGTGGCCAGTGCTGGCTGCTTCTCTCATTCCAAAACACGGGCACTGTGGCAGATTGTGGGGAGGAGGACAGAGCTGGGGGTGATGTGGAGGGAGAAGAGGCAGCACTGACGCACAGCTGAGTCCAAGACACTCACTGCCTCCTCATTGTGCCCCACCAGGTACGGCAAACTCCACGTGCAGACAAATGGGGACCATGCCAGGCACGCTGTGGATGAGAGGATGGAGCTGAAGAAGTAAGTCTGACCGAACTGTAGCTGAATGAGAGAAGGGTGGCTCTGGTGATAGCTCTTTGGTTCTCATACATAGGCATGTTCTGTCCCAGGCATGCTCCTGGTGCCTGGGGCTGGTGGGGGTGCACACAGGTTTCTACTGGCACCCAATTCTCACGCAAGTTTGCCTGTGTTCCCCCTCTCCCCGCAGCACCATCTCCTCCATCCTGGGCGCCTGGCTGGACCAGTACTCAGAGGACTTCCGCAAGCCCCCGGACTTTGCCTGCCTCAAGCAGCTCATCTCCTACGTGCGCCACAACATCCCCGGCTCGGACCTGGAGCGCCGAGCCCGCATCCTGCTGGCCCAGTTCCAGCAGCAAGAGCAGAGCGAGTCCGAAGCAGAAGGTGAGGACCCCAATTACAGGGGCCATTTGGGGTTGCATGTATAGAGAGTGCTACCGGTTGGCATTGAGGGTTTCTAGAACCTCAGGTCTTGCCACGTGGCTTAACCCCCATAAACCCTGCTTGTGTTTACATGGAGGTGCACTGGGAAGCTAATCCGACTGAACCAGAAGTGGGATTTCTAAATGGATTAGCTAATCTGCCTTTAATCCTCTGCAGACACTTGCATCCAGATTTAAAATGACTATCCTTTTATCTGAGCCTCGTTTCGTGAGGTGTGAAGCCAGATGGGAATTAGGAGCCCGGGGATGTGAGTGACTGTAGGGGGTTGGTGTGGGTTGCTATGGGTCTCGGCTCATAGCAGTGCTGTGGTGCTCACCTTCACACCATCTCTCGCAGCTGTGGCCCACAGCGGCTGCACCTTCCAGCTGGTGGAGGAGAATGGGGTCGGGGACGGAAAGCCAGATTTCCTCTCCTTCTCCCCAGAGATGGTGGCAGAGCAGTTCACGCTGATGGACGCTGTGAGTATCCATTCAACAGCCAGGTCCATGGTGCTCTGCCTGCCTGCTGCTCTGCGCACAGGCCTGTCTCTTCCCATCCATCTTTTCCTCCTGGCCTGTTCCCTTTACGTGGACCCTAAAGAATCCCCTCTCCATCCCTTTCTCTTCCAGGAGCTATTTAAGAAAGTGGTGCCTTACCACTGCCTGGGCTGCATCTGGTCCCAGCGAGACAAGAAGGGCAAAGAGCACCTGGCTCCCACCATCCGTGCCACAGTCTCGCAGTTCAACAGCGTGGCCAACTGTGTCATTGCCACGTGTCTCGGTGACCGGTCCCTGAAGCCTCAGCAGAGGGCTAAGGTGGTGGAGCGGTGGATCGAAGTGGCTCGGGTAGGACAGCCTGCCATCATCCTTGCCTTGGCCCAGGGCTGAGATTTTGTGGACCCAGTAGATCCCTGGGCTTTCTTTAATGCTTTCTCCTCTCATCTCCCTGTCTGCCTCCAGGAGTGCCGCATCCTGAAGAACTTCTCCTCCCTCCGAGCCATCCTCTCGGCTCTGCAGTGCAATGCTGTTCACCGGCTGAAGAAGACCTGGGATGAGGTCCTACGGTAAGCAGTGTCTTCTGGGCTCTTGTGGCCATGGGGAAGTTTCAATGGGGAGGTCATGCTGTGACCCTTGAATGTGTAGATGGGATCATCTCAGTTCCAGTGTTGCCTCTTGGAGGCTGCTCAAAACCCAGGGACCAGTGTTAAGTTGTCAGGTATTTAAGGAGAGTGAGAAATAAAAGCATCATTGCCGCC